AAAAACAAGCCTGAACAAAGACGACATCAGTAGACATGCTAACATGGACAAGGTGTGTGGAGGCCTGAAAATTCAGAGCAGGAAAAAGTCTTCTCTAGGAATGAGCACACCAGTTGGTTATTCAATACCAAATGCTCATGAGACAAACCATATAACCAAGTAACTTTATACAGATAGAGTGGGTTATATTTACATATTTATTAACACACACACACACACACACACACACACACACACAAGCAAAGGAGTACCTGAGAGGGTTAGGAGGGAAGAAGGGAAGGGAGAAATGATATAAAAAGCATTTTAATTAGGTTAAGACTCCAATTTGCTCTGAAAAAAACCAAAACAAAACAATTTTTTCACTTCCTATTTGCTACCACATTGACCAACCAAGATGTCACTAAGCTAAGTGAAATGAGCCAGTCACATAAACACAATTACTGTACTACAAAGTCAAATCCATGGAAGCAAAGACAGGGTCAGTTCTAAAAGGTCTTTCAAATGGTATAGGAAGGAGATGCTTGTCCAAAGGCACAAAGTATCTAAAAAAATGAACCCTTTTGGGATAATTAATAAACATGGGCAGTAATAGTCGTGTTAGCTAATCTAATTATAGGAATTAATACATGATGCATATGGATATCAGGCTGTCACAATATGTGTTTTAACATGTTCAATTTTTCTTTGCTCGGACACACCAAAATGTCTTGCTCAGATTGGCAAAGAACAATCATAGATACAATTAACTCATGTTGACATATATGTTAATAAATATGGCTACACACAAACGTTATTGCTACTGCTTCAGACCAATTGAGGATTTGTAAAACATTTTATAAAGTAAATCCTTTTCCCTGAATTCTTAGTAACTGGTACGTCTTTATCCTTAATGCTGACATTTCCTTCTCTAAGCACAGATGACACATGAAGGTTTGAGTGTGGAAAACGAGAACTGTTGCAATGCCCTGAAAGAGAGACTCAGGGGCCAGGCACCTTGAAGGTCTGTGTTTTATATGCCGACACTTACTTTGTGAAGGTGAAACTTCCTTAGCTTCTCCTCTTTAGTTTTTCCATTTGTAAAATGTTTCATGAAAAGTATAGCTTTTAGGTGGTGATGAGGATTAAATGACTGAATGTGCATATAATAGCACAGATCCTGGGATCTAATAACTAATCATTAAATGATGGTTATTATTTTTATGATGTTACTAATTTCATCAATTTTCTTTCTAGACTATTACAATAGTTTTCATTATTATTATTCAATCTCCCACATTTTGCTCAGCATCATTTATAGTTTGTATTACCCATAGAGCTGGCTATAAGTGGTATACATTTGGAGACTATGAAGGCTCTGTACTAAGGCAACAATTATAAAACAATTCGAGGAGCATGGTTTGATGAGTGTAATTAGAAGTATCATTTTCATAAATGGATAAAGGAATTGAATGCCTGTGAGTATTGCTAGCTGACTTTTAGTGGCTTCAACTTTAGATTGTAGATTGAAGAAAAACAATGTACTTCTTTATAAATAATAAACTCCTGCCTTGGCATTATGTTATAATGTGTGGGAAGCTATCCTTATCACATCATTGCCATTAACAAGTCTGTGCGCATGCGCTGGAAGGTTTTCCCGCCTTTATTAATCTGACAGTTGGAACACGTCATGTGGCCTGAGGCAACAGGAGCCCATCAGAGACTGCCACGTCCCAGGCGAGCTTAGCTTTCTATATAAGGGAAGGGTTTTAGGCCCTTGGGGTCCCTCCTCGTTTGTGAAGCTTATGCTCTCCCTCTCAAGATGCATTAAAGCTTATACTGCAGAAGGATCCTGAGTGTGCCGCGTCTTTCCTGCTGGCGGGAGGTTGCGCGGGACAACTGGTGCCAGAAACCCGGGACACTTGACCTTGCCATCGTCAGCACCTTGGAGGACCCCTCGATAGAGGAGGATTCAGAACTGCAGGGGTGAGTTCGGAGAGGTATGTCTATTCCTGAAATATTCGGGTTGTGCTTGGCTGTCATTTTCATGGTGCTTGTTTTGCTCTGTCTTCGCGGTGGCCATTGTTAGTAGCAAAGTAGTCTGAAGTAAATAGCCAGTGACACTGGTCTTGTCTCTTTCTCCCTCCTGTAGATAAAGGTGGGACAAAGTTCCTCTTGACTCCCGGCCGTTAGTCGGACGTAGATAAGCCGCGGGCTGGGCCGCTGTTACTTTCACTTTTGAGACGGTACTAAGGCGGACGTAGATAAGCCGCGGCCGTCATGGGTTCATCACAGTCAGTAATCACTACTTTGGAGGCCGTACTCAAACAGCGGGATATTAAAATTGCTAACAGGACTTTGAGGAACTTCATAAAAGAGGTGGATCGCGTTGCCCCCTGGTTTGCCGTCTCTGGGTCTTTGGCTCTCCCCTCTTGGAATAAACTGGGAAAGGACTTAGAAAGGCACCGCGATGACAACGATTTGAGTAACGGCACAGTTGCGATCTGGAAACTTATTAAGAACTGCCTACAAGATGAAAACTGTAAGATAGCCATAAGGAAAGGACAGGCTACGCTAGAAGATGTTCAGGATAGCATGTCAGAAACCGAACGCAGTGAGAGGATGGGCGCGCGTAGGAAAAAGGTACCGAAACAAAAGGAAAAGGAACACCTTTCAGCTGAAGAAAAGAACCCTCCTAAAAAAGGAGAGATACCCCCTAATGGGAAAAGCTCGCTTTACCCCAACCTAGAGGCACTGACTATCGACAGTGCAGAGAGTTCCTCTGGGGACTCCAGTGAGGGGTCATTAGATTCTACAGAGGAGGCGGAGTTAGACGAGGAAGCAGCAAATTTTTCTAAAACTTTATCTCAGTTTTTATTACAGAATTGGACTGTAGAGTTTGAAGAGACGCTTCGGAAGTTACGCTTTGCGATTATAGAAGTGAATTCTACCAGACTTGATTTGTCCCTGACCGAAGGACTGTCTACATGGATCTCTTCAATATTTTCTTATTTTAAAGAATGGTTGGGGGTGGGTCTTTTCGGAGCCTTGCTCTGCTGTGGGCTGGCGCTCGTGTTACGGCTCCTTTAAAAGCTCAGGTCACAGTGACAACAGGATAAGGTGGTGATTGCCCAGGCACTTGTAGCACTGGACTAAGGGACTGGATAGCCATGATTAACAACTGCCCCAAAGACCTGTTAAGACAAGGCCATAATCTGTAATACCATCTCCTCCCCCTGCCAAATGGCCCTGGCACCTCTGGGAGTTTTTCTCCATTGCACAAGAGTTGGGCATTTTGGCTTCCCTAATTCTTTCTCTCTATCTGTCCCAGGAACCAAATCCAGACTCAAGAAGGGCTCGGGTTCCCATTGCACCTTGAGGACTGTGATATGGTTGTTCTCACACTCGTTAAGCTCGGGAGGGCTCGAGTTCCCATTGCACCCCGAAGTGAGTGTAGAGACACGGGCCTGCCTCACTTATTGAGGAGGAGAAAATCTAGACCTCTCTCCTTTTGATTGGTTTGTGTCTGCCCGGCCTGAACTCTTTCACTTTTCTATGGCCTCTTCTTAGGATCACTTTTAAATAAAAAAGGGGGCAGATGTGGGAAGCTATCCTTATCACATCATTGCCATTAACAAGTCTGTGCGCATGCGCTGGAAGGTTTTCCCGCCTTTATTAATCTGACAGTTGGAACACGTCATGTGGCCTGAGGCAACAGGAGCCCATCAGAGACTGCCACGTCCCAGGCGAGCTTAGCTTTCTATATAAGGGAAGGGTTTTAGGCCCTTGGGGTCCCTCCTCGTTTGTGAAGCTTATGCTCTCCCTCTCAAGATGCATTAAAGCTTATACTGCAGAAGGATCCTGAGTGTGCCGCGTCTTTCCTGCTGGCGGGAGGTTGCGCGGGACAATAATGGCTGTATGATCACTAACAGAGTTCATTTACATATTTCTTAGAGGCAAGAAGTTTTGTGTTTTTCTTTAAGGGAAAGTTGACTCTAGGAAATCCTTTTACATTTCTAGTTGCTTTCATTTTGAATTGACCACTTTTGAGCATGAAGGTTGACATTTAATTAAGATCATTTTGTTTGGGGTTAAATAAGACTGTGTTTTCTTTGGGATTTCTTAATACATGATGTAGAACACTACGTCCACTTAGGGCAAAAACTGAAATGATGCTGCAGCTCCTGTAGTGTGAAACCATGAAGACAAAAAAATGTGTCAGGTTTACAGGCATCATGGGGAAAGCCCTAAGGATCTGAAGCATAGACTTCTGTAGATGAGTGTGTTATGGTTAAAAATCATTTCCCATCATTGTTACTGATGCTGGGAAAAAGCAGTTAGGTTGGCCAAGTGAGCATTAATGCAGACAAGCAGAATGTGCTCACTAGGATGGAATTTTTTTATCTGTTACTTGTAATTCTCTCTCCTCCTCTGTCTTCTTATCTTCCAGTATCCCCTTCTCTCCTTACCCCCTCACCCAGTGAGTAAATTTAACGATTTAACCATTTACTGTGATTGCACAAACTCATAAAAAAAGACATTTTATTTCATAAAATTATTTGTACTTTGTTTTTTCATAATTTTTCTCTGACATAGTATACTTTTTAAAGATTTATCCAGTTTTACTTTATGCATATGCATCCATCCATGTCTGTACACCATGTGTGTGTAATGATGTTAGGGTCCAGTAGAACATATTAGAACTCTGCAACTGGAGTTAAGCATGGTTTTGAATAATTTCTCCTGCCCTGAAAAAGCTATTCTATGTGAAGGTTAAATTTTTGATGATGTGTTATCCTTCCAGAAAAATACAGAAACCAATATTTACGTTATAATCAACATATTAAAAAATAAATTATTTGGGATTGATATTCTGAAGAATCACAGAATGAAGTTTTTTCATCAAAAGGAGAGTGAGGATTTATTATCAGGTAGTGCACATTTATGTGCAGAGGGCTTTCCTTGTGGCATGCATGCCCAGCATTTGTCAGGTTTGATGACCACTGGGGTCTATGTCTACTTACTGGATGGAGCTCTCAATGCGGGTGATAGTGAGGAAGGCGGCAAGGTTTGCTGTGTAAGATGAGATGACAATCAGAGCAAATAACCACCAAGCCCCCATCATCATTCGGGTTGCCAGAGTCGTGTAAGGGACTTCTCCACCTGTGGAAAGAGGGGAGATGACAACAACATCAATACGCTTCTATTGAGAAACTGAAGCCATACACGTTCAGCATCACTACAGGCAACAAAAAACATTTCGCTTAACAACCATGGAGATTTTAATATTTTGTTTTGGATGATCTTCTTTGGAATTATGTGAGACTTTGTTAAAAAGAAGCATGATAAATATTCTACAAAATATGATCAAGTGATAATTCTTTATTACGTAATTCTAAAATTAAATTCCTTAGTATAGTCATGAATATATATTTTGTTCCAAAGAGCCAGGTTATTCACCAGTTACACAATACTAATACTGCTATACCTATATTTAATATATATTTTCATATTTTAAATGAAATATTGGATCTTTTGTTAAATTCTTTGGGAGTGCAGGCTGCTGAAAATCTTTGTATCACACATATTACCACTGACTTCAGTATTATTGCATTTGATTCTTCCTGTCCCTCTCTTAACTGGACACTCACAACATTGTTGAAAATCATTCTTCTCATTATGTATAGATAGGTATGCCTTTGTGTGAAATCTTCATAAAGCTTACATTCTGTCTACATTTTTATACTATGTAACCCTAGCAAGACTTTGAAGGTTATGTACATTTGATGAAGTAATATTATTTCTGGCCATGGTATGAACATGGGCTTGCATAAAGTAAACTGCTGTGGCACCCATGGCCAATGGTCATGGGTTGGGTCTAGGCTTGTTTTATGTCAGCTTGACACAAGCTTGAATCATTAGAAAAGCGAGAACCTCAATTGAGAAAATGGCTCTATAAGATGGAACTATAGTCCATAATATAGGACAGTATTTTCTAGTGGTTTATGGCTGAGTGTCCAGCCCATTGTGGATGATACCATACCTAGGATGGTGGTCCTGGGTTCTAGAAAGAAGGTAGGCTGAGAAAGCAATGGATTGCAAGGCAATAAGCAGCAGGCCTCCATTACCTCTGCATCAGCTCCTGCCTCCAGGTTCCTGCCATGTTTGAGTTCCTGCTATGGATTGATTTAGTGATGGACTATGCCGTGGATGTATCGGCCATAGTGCTTCATCACAGAATTAGAGACCTAACTAAATCAACAGTGAAGTCAAAATAACTTATTGCTAAGAAATCCTTTGACAATGAGAATAGGATTAATATTTTTTTAGGTAGAATTGCAGGGATAACTAGATTATCCCCTGAGATTCCATCCACTAATAATTCTTCTCATAAGCTGCACAAGATCTTTGGGAGTTGGTAGAGAATATAGGAAGGATAACATTGACTAGAAGCATAGCATCTTTAGTGGTGCAGCTTTTGGACCTTACTTACACACTTTGGGGTGAGACTTGTCAATAACTATTGAGGCATCGATATTATGCTTCTACAAATAATCTGAACATCATGCTCCTATAAATACACTCAACAAACTCATTGGTTTATTAAGGCAGGCTTAGATGAAATGCCTTCTTTGGCCACTTACAATGAATAGACATTTCTTGATGTCTTCATAGAAAATGAAACGTCACATGGATCATATTCAAACTTATAGTCTGGTCCTTTATCTATGGAGAACTATTGACAAAAGCCTATGCCTTCCTTCTACCCAGAATCTAATGGGGATCTTAAATTCAACACATTTAAACATTTGTTTTAAAATCCAAATTACCTCCCTAACTACCTAGTTCACATTATGCCAGGAACTGGAACATTACTTTTATCCCATTTCTTAGAACAAAACCTTAAAAGTTTAGTCTCTCAATATGTAACAAATCCTGACACCTTTACCTTCAAATCAATATCAGCAAACTATTTTATCTCACCATTTACAATGCTCATATTCAAATATAAACCAGCAGCTTTTGATTTTGCCACCAAACAGCCTATAGAACCTATATTTAACCTGTCTAGATCCTGACCCCTGTCAGTGCTCCACCATGGGACTCTAGGCCATGAAAGTCAGGTCATGATGTGCTTAGATCAAAACTCCCACATGATGTGCCCAGATCAAACCTCCCAATAGCTTCTCATCACTCTGTGAAGAATCTGTAATCTTTGTCAAAGCTTATCAGACATTACATGGAAGAATCTTATTCACTTATCTGATCTTATTTTGAATCAATCTCTAAAACATGCTGTCAAAATTATCTATAGCATAAAATATTTGGGGTGCCTGGACCATTAAAGGACACTAAGCCCTTCTGTGTTAGTTTCCTCTTGAAATTTTGGGAACAGTAGAGATATAAAAAGCCAGCAGAGCCTGAGAGCTGAGAGTAGAATTCATGGGTAATAGCATGTAGGGTCCAGGGAACAAAAGTGTAAGGTCAGTAAGCAAAGTGAGAAGAGAAGACAGTTGGTGACAGTTGAGGCAGGAGAACCTGAGTTGTGTCACAGAAGATACAGTTATGAGACAGTTAGAAGAAGAACCTATGAAGAACCCACAAAGTAGCAAAGAATGAAAAAAATAAATAAGAGCTACATTTACTTCTTATCCAAAGATTTGAATTTAAAATATTTATGGGTAGAATTCTTTTGCTTTTGATTTCTAAGTATTTTTCTAATCACAAATTTTTAAGGATTTTATTTTTTAAAAAATGCCTCTTTAGAAATATCTTTTAGCAGTGTTTGACTAGTATAATTTCCGACAGTTTCATACTATCAAATCCCTTTCCTCGAAGAAAACGGTAATTTAACATGGTTTTAGGTAATAGCATATAAACATCTTTGTTTTTAGAATTTTTAAATTTTTTTTGAAATTTAAATATAGTAAAAAAAATTCTCTTTCTCATTTCTCCTTCTACCCCTCTATTTTCACCCAGCTCTCTCTCAAATTCTATTTCTTTAATTTTGTATATACATACAAAATAGTATTATATATATAATATATAGTATATATATACAAAACAGTATAATATATATTATACTATTAATATGTATTATGTTATAAATATTAATAAATATATAAATAAAACTTGCTTAGTCTATATAATGTTACTTTTATGTATATGATTCCAGAATTGTTCACATCTGATTTATATAGTTTTTTTCTCTTTCTTTTTAATAGTCTCTGAAATAGGAATAGTCCCTGTCGTATATTATGTGGTTATGTACTTGGTAAATGAGTTTATGCTATGTTACCAGTTGAACTCTATCTTTACAGAATTCATGTGTTAAAATATTAGTTTTTAATATGCTAATTTAAATAAGCTGTCTTCAAAGAATCAAGGTAAAACAAGGTCATGAAAGATCATGCTAACATGGCTGCCATTTTGGGGAGAGAGACAAAACACTGAGGATGTGTGTATTTAGCAGACACAGGCAGAAAGAAGCTAGAGTGCAGTAGAGAGGCTGCTGGAGAAATGAAATATGTTTACATCTTGATCTTTGTCTTCAACCCTTCACATCATGGAGTCTGGGTATTCTGTTGTATTATCCCTCTCAACTTAATACATATGGATTATTAAACACTAATAGACTATGCAAAAAAATTAGGCTTATATTCACAGTGCAAATAAATTAGATAAACAATATTCTTTCCTGTTAGTTCTATAATATGTGCGTATAGTAACAAGATTTAATTACTTATACCTGGCAGTTTAACTCTGACCATTAGTTCCTATATGTAATATTTCTGCATATTAAATATATACACATTTATATAAACACATCCTTCAGCTATTTTCTGAACTTTCAGTTCAGGCTAATTTTTCATATATGTAAAACATTTTCTCAATAACATTTGTGATGCATTTTAGATATTTCTTAAAAGCAACAGGCATTTTTGCTTGGCTTCTATGTAATGAAAGCTAAAGAATTTACAGTTTTAAATTCACGTGAAGATTTTTGAGCAAAACAGATAATTGGAATCTAACAGTAAAATGTGCCCAAGTCTGAATGATACACAAGCAGGTAGAGAAGTATGTGTATGACTGAAAAGGCTAACTGTAGGTTTGTCTCCATAAAGACCTTAGCCTTTCAGCCATAGAAAATCAATTGTTGAGTTTCTTATTTTGTGGTATATAATTCGCAACTTTAGTAGTTCAGATATTCTATATAATCCAAATATTTTTGACATATTTACTTAGAAATGAGATAATAAAAATAATAGAAATATTGTCTTCCTGTTTGGGTAATGTTGGACTGCATGTGTCATAATAACCTGCAAGTCTCACTCTCTTTGCCTACTGTTGTGATAAAATATTCTGACAAAAATTGTGGTTTGTCGGTTCTGAAAGATACCTGTATTCCCCCTGAACACCCACACTCCAGTGTCATCCCCTTCCCCACATTCTGCCTTTCTGTGTTTATAACCCGTGTGTGAATGAATTACGATTTGAGAAAAATAAATAAATTATTTAAAAAAAAAGAAAAGAAACCTGGAAACTCACCTCCAATGAAATGCTTCTTCCAACAAGGCCATGCCTTCTTAGCCTTCTAATCCTCTCAGTGAGAGTTCTACTCCCTGATGACTAAGCATTCAACTATATGATTTTATGAGCCTCATTTTTTTATTCATACTACCACAGGCATTCAGTATTTGCAATTCTGAGAAGTACATTTCTGTGACTAATTAGTAATTCTTTGCTTAGGAATTTTTTTTCTCTTCTTACAATGCATTCTCCAGCTAATTTTTATAAAACTATGAAGTCAGTATAATCAATGTCAATGTTTCCTCCCTTAAATAGGTTTTTTGCTGGGTAGCCTGGGAGCATTTATAATAATTTTTATTTGAAGGTATTTTATGAAAAATAAAAACATATCAAGTTTTGTATTTAGAAAAAAAATTGTGGTTTGTGGTTGAATGGTACAGTTCATCATGATGGAATGTCAAGGTTGTAGGAAATTGAAGGAGATGGTATCAATGTGTCTACAATCAAGAAGCAGAGAGTGATGAACACATGCTGCTGCTTTCAGCCAGGGAATGAGACAAACCACAGTAAGAGAGTCTTCCCAACACTTTTAATGCAGTATAGATAAGCCCCTACTATCTTGCAAGTGATGA